ACTGTAAGATTTCCAGAGATTTGTCTTCTAACTTGGATATCCTTTGTTCTGCTTCACTGAGTCTGTTGTTAAGGCTTTCCACTGCATTTTCTATTTATTGTCTTGAATTCTTCATTTCCAAGATTTCTTTTTGATTTATCTTTAAGATCTCAGTTTCATGGATGGGATAATTTTTTTTTTCATGTCATGGTATGGATTTCATTAGTTCATGGATTTACATATGATTGTTTCTAAGTAATCCTACAGTCAATTGTTTGAATTCCATTTCTGGCATTTCTTCAATGTCTTCAACTTCATATTCTAGTATTGAAGCGTTATGTTCTTTTGGGGACATAATGTTGTCTTCATTACTCTTGTTTTCTTTTTCTTTTCTTTCTTTTTCTTTTCTTATCTTTTCTTATCTTTTCTTATCTTTTCTTTTCTTTTCTTTTCTTTTCTTTTTGACAGGCAGAGTGGACAGTGACAGAGAGACAGAGAGAAAGGTCTTCCTTTTTCCGTTGGTTCACCCCCCAATGGCCGCTGCGGCCGGTGCACTGCGCCGATCTGAAGCCAGGAGCCAGGTGCTTCTCCTGGTCTCCCATGCGGGTGCAGGGCCCAAGCACTTGGGCCATCCTCCACTGCACTCCCCGGCCACAGCAGAGAGCTGGACAGGAAGAGGAGCAACCAGGATAGAATCTGGCACCCCGACCGGGACGAGAACCCAGGGTGCCGGTGCCACAGGTGGAGGATTAGCCTATTGAGCCACGGCACCAGCCTTCATTACTCTTGTTTTCTTGAATTCTGCGTTTATTATTTGACACTTGCGGAGATAGTTGGTTTATTTTCTGATTTGTTTTGTTTTATTTTCTCTGTGATGGCTTTTATCTTTGGACTATGCCTCTGTGGTTTGGTGGAATGTCTGCTTTTTCAGTGAATACCCAGAGGTGTGTGGTAGGTGTGGCCAGTGAGCTCTGTTTAGTGCTCCAGGTTGAGGGGATTATCCAAAAAATAAACAAAATTGACACATCATCAGCCCAAATAACCAATAAAGGAAGGAAGGAGAAGACCTAAATCAATAAAATTAGAGACAAAAAAAGAAATATAACAATAGACACCACAGAAATAAAAAGAATCAGAAATTACCACAAAGAGCTGTATGCCAACAAGTTGGGAAACCTATTAGAAATGGATAGAATCCTAGAAAGATACAATCTACCAAAATTAACTCATGAAGATATAGAAAACTTATACAGACCTATAAGCAAGCCAAATATTGAATCATTCATGAAAACCCTAACAACAAAGAAAAGCCCAGGACCAGATACCTTTACTGCTGAATTCTACCAGACGTTTAAAGAAGATAGAATTCCTAATTCTTCTCAAGGTATTCAAGTGACCCCCAGGTGGGGCATGGTAAATCACCTCTCTCTCTCTCTTTCTCTCTTTCTCTCTCTCTCTCTTTCTCTCTCTTTCTCTCTCTCTCTCTTTCTCTCTCTCTTTTTCTCTCTTTCTCTCTCTCTTTTTCTCTCTTTCTCTCTCTCTTTCTCTCTCTCTCTCTTTCTCTCTCTCTCTCTCTTTTTCTCTCTTTCTCTCTCTCTCTTTCTTTCTCTCTCTCTCTTTCTCTCTCTCTCTCTTTCTCTCTCTCTTTTTCTCTCTTTCTCTCTCTCTCTCTTTCTCTCTCTCTCTTTCTCTCTCTCTCTTTCTCTCTTTTCTTTTCTTTTCTTTTTTTTTTTATCAAAGAGGAGGTTTGTTCTGCTCTCTTGGCATAGTCTCATGCTCACCTTCTCTCCTCAAAGGAGACCAGTGTCTGGGCGTTAGCCCCAGTGAATACAGTGTTCACCTGTGCCGCCACAAGAACCACACACAGTATCTGTGAAGTCCTCTGTGTAAGCCTAGATCCTGCAGCAATGACCCTCACCAGGGAATCAGGGAGCCCCAAACGTGTGGAGCCATTCAGAGTAATTGCCCAAAGGACAAGCCCCACCTGCACCCTCCCACACAGCCACAGTGTTTTCACAGTCCCAGCACACCCTGCCACCTGTCAATTCTCCCAGCCAGACTCAGGCATTCCTGGATGTGTAGACACGAGCTGTTGCAGCTGTTACATATGTCCAAAATGTTGTCTGCCTTCTCTCGGCTTTACAGGACATGGGTGCAAGGTGGTCTGGGAGAGAGAAATGAGCCCCCTCCCTTTTTTTCTCTTCTGGTTTGGCAGGTACACTGTCGTTCACAGGGCTTCAAGCTGGACTTGTGCCAGGCTCTTCCTGCAGCTTTATCACCAGTGGCATGGGCTGCTGCAGTCTGATATCACCTCTGCACATCTGGTGCTGAGGCTCTCGGCTGCTGGGGTCCTGAGTTACGTGTACCTATACCCTCCATGTAGGTCCACAGTGTCCCTCTAATTTGCATGGACTTTCTTCTCCTAACTCTTCCCTGAGACTTTCTCCTTTTTAAAAACTATCTTCCCTTAGACTAGAGCAGTAAGCTCCCTCCCTATTCTGCTGTCTTGGATCTCCCTTAAGCAGTATCACTGTTACCAAGACAGTTGATAGTTTTGGCAGAGAATCAATCATCAATCATGGCATATGCAGCAGATTGATCTGACAATGTAATGGATTGAAGGTCTACTGGAATTACCAATATAAATGCCATGGCCATGTTGAGAGGAACAAATCTTGTAGAACGTTGGGACTAGAAGCCAGGAACAAGGGGTTGATCGATTGATCAGCAATGGGGATTGGGAAAGAAGAATCAGTGTGTATGGAATAGATGGCTTATAGTGTCCCTTGGAGACTGACCTTTTCTGGTTTCTGCTTCACTTCTTGACACCTTTGCACATTTCATTTTATTTTCCTATAACACCTTTCTTTTTCTCCTTTCCCAGCTTTTGAAAAGCCTACGTTGGATGCTATGAATTTTTCAGAATAACTATCCTAAAGACCTGGCTCAGCAACTTATACACAGAAGGCCCTCAGTAATTCGTGGATGGGTGGATGGATATAGATTGAGGATATACAGAAGGAAACACTAAAGCAAAGTTAAATTATTTGAAGAGACTGGCGTGGGACACGACTGGGTGAGAGGAAAGCAGAGCATGGAATTCGCACAAGGTGGAGTCAGGTGCAGAATCAGGAGAGGCTAAGATGGAGAGAACACTCTCTTGAATAAGGCTGGTTCCATCACATAGCCTTCAGGAGTGAGAAAAGCCATACCAAAGGTGAAACAGTTAGAGAACTGTGACCCAAATAATAATACAGTTCATATTGATATGTTAATATAGGGTATGAGGAACCAGAGCTTACTTTAAGTTATATAACCACAAAATGGCAGTATATAATCTGGAAGCATGATGGAAGGGCAGGGTGTGTCAAGGCTTGAAGAAACAAATGTAGAACAAAGTAGAAGTAGATTGTCAGCTGGAGATGGCTGAGAAATCTGCATAAGTCAGTCAGAGAGAGGGCTGGCGCCGTGGCTCACTAGGCTAATCCTCCACCTGCGGCACCGGTACCCCGGGTTCTAGTCCCGGTTGGGGCACCGGATTCTATCCTGGTTGCCCCTCTTCCAGTCCAGCTCTCTGCTGTGGCCAGGGAGTGCAGTGGAGGATGGCCCAAGTGCTTGCGCCCTGCACCTGCATGGGAGACCAGGAGGAAGCACCTGGCTCCTGGCTTCGGATCGGCGCAGTGTGCCGGCCGTAGTGGCCATTTGTGGGGTGAACCAATAGAAAAGGAAGACCTTTCTCTCTGTCTCTCTCTCACTGTCCACTCTGCCTGTCAAAAAAAAAAAAAATCAAATAAGTCAGAGAGAGATAACCTTATACTGAAGCAAACCCAAAAAGACTGTATAAACCAGGTCAACCCTTCCTTAGTTCACAGTGAGAAACTACAAAATCTCTGCTCCTGGGACAGCTAAAATTCCCTCTTTCCTGTTGGACACATTTTCCTAGAAGCCTTATGATAATCAAAAGAGTGCTTATTGGACCGTTCTAATCACAGCTGAAGCTTCCTGGCACACTCTAGGTGGCAGGCACTATGCTGAGCACTGTGTGTGCATCAGTTTCTATTATCTTCTCAGCAACTCCTGCCAAAAAAAAATGCTATTACTGATATCAGGAGAGTTCTGCTGGAGAGGAAGCTGATGATTGTCACTTACTCAAGGTTGTGTTAGCATGAGTGACGTAGAGGGAGGCCTTGAATTCGTGCCGGCCTAATTTCAAAGTCTGGACTCCTAGCTACCAAGTTCCCATGGAATGTGAATGAGGGGAGTTAATGCAAATTCAAGTGTGAATTTGATTCATTATCTCTATAGTGTCTGGCTGTCTCTAATGAAGATGGATGGGTCAGATTTACTGTAAATGTCTGCTTCAGTGACTTACCCTGTTTTATTATTCTTATAAGCATTTGTGCCTCCTTCTCTTTTCCTGTGTTAATAACCTCGGTTCAGGTACTGGTGGTCCCAGAGCCAACCTGACTTTCTTAGGTGACTTTGAAAACATTGATTTTATGACATACCTTCCATTTGGGGAAGCTTCCCACCATCACCCTCCATGGTGACATATATTTCTATTACCTGGGAAAATACTCAGGAGAGATTCCAGATAGCCTGTCTTGTAGAAATTTTGTTCTGACGTCACACCGACACTAGTAGCAGCTTCTGCCTGGCTTTCTTCATGCCAGAAAGTGACCAGATCCAAACATTAACCAGCCTTGGCCTTGTGCATCCGAGCAGGGAAAGTGGTCCCTGAGTGCAAAGATCAGAGGACTGATTTGCTGTAAGTCTGCTTTTAAGGCCTTGAGGGGAAGGAGAGATGAAAACTTAAAAATGAGGCAATCCTAAGTCTTTGAGTTGATATTTCTGCAAACCACTAATTGGTAAGCAATGCAATTAATTAGCAGATGTAAAATATTATCATTGTTAAACTTCTGTTATGTGCTGTCACGCACAGTGTCTTACCCCTGTGCTTTTTCCTTTTTTTTAAAAAAAAAAAAACAAAACTCTGGTTTTATTTGTATTCTTCTCAACAGGATGTGAAGTGCTAACAAAACTTGACTTGACCATGAATTTCATTGGTGAGCTGAGCAGCATTAAAACCCTGAAACACAACATCCACCTGCAGGAGCTCTTTCTCATGGGGAACCCGTGCGCTTACTTTGACGGCTACCGGGAGTTTGTGGTGGCGACTCTGCACCAGTTAAAGGTGTGCTTGTTTGGATGATACCAGAAACACAGGAAAGTGAAAGTGAACAAGCACAGTAATTCGTGATTGATTTGCAGCGTCGTCAGGGAACGTGTTGCTTCAGAGGGTGGAATACAGCAGAGAATCCAAATTCTGTGACTTGCTAAACCTTTAACATTATTTTAATAGCTTTAATAAATCCTTGTAGAATAAATGGAACACTTTTCTCCTTCCTCACCCAGAACACGTGGAACTTAATTGAACTATTTCTTGGGGAGCTCACCCCATTGTTAGGAAGCGCATCCATCATTGCTAATAACAGTGCATCGCGAGTAGAAGCAAACCAGACATGCAGGGTTTTCATGGTAGCTACAGCTCCTTTGTCTGTAGTCTTAATCTGCAGTGCTTTTATAGTCATCTTTGTATCCTCACCCCTTCTCAACCCTGGGACAGTGGGCCTCAGATTTCAGTGTGTATCAGAATACTTGGAGGGCTTTTAGAAACATAGATTGCTGTGTAACCCCAGAGTGTGCTCAGATCTGACAAGGGGCCTGAAATCTTCATTTCTAATGAACTCTTCAGGCAGTTTCCATGGTGCGGGTCCAGGGACCACACTGGAGAAACATCACTTATGTTCATCTCTTACAGCAAATATCCCAAATCTTAGGATTTTAAAACATAGGGCAAAATGTGATTTCTGGAGAAATCATGCATCTGAGTGTTTTTCAAATGTATGTTGGAAACAGCATTGGTAATCTGCATATAATTCCCAGTATTCCCAGCCCCATTTGTGCCCAGCTTCTGCGCAGGGAGTGCAGGCATGCATTAGCTTTGTAAAGACATCTTCTCAGTTCTCAGAGTGCACTTGTTTCTCAGCCTCCTGTGTTCTCTGTAGTTGAGAGATGGCTGGCTGCTGGATTTGATGGAACACGTTTCTTATAATTCAAACTGTCTCAGATAAAGAGAATGAAGGATGCAGGTAACCGAGTCTGGAATAAATGGGAAGTTATTTCAAATACTGTGCTGGCTGACCACTCTTGTGCAATGACCTCCTAGGAAATGAGCTGATAATAACTGGAGCATCACGGAAGTGGATCCTGTGGTGGAACGTGAGGAGCTGTTTTCGTGGAAGGGCTGGGGGGCGTGAGGCTGTGTGGTCAGGGCTGCAGTGTTCACTCGGGTGCTAGAAACAGGGGCCGGGTGTTGTGCCGGATGCTTTCTGCACAGCTTCTCCGATCTAGCCGGACCCGTGCGTGGAGGCAGTTCAGTGCATTCAGAATTGAGGGAGCCAAGGCTCAGAGGATGGACACTCCTTGTTTGAGATGACACACCTGGCAAGTGGCACTGGTGGGATTTGAACCCACTCATGTCAGACACCAAAAACTCCACCACTCATACTGTGTCTATAGTCACTGCTTCCTTTTGGACAATTGTGCAAGTTCTAGGTCAGGTCTTCCTGAAAGACTTCTCCAAGTCAGCTGATGCCATTGACAACAACAGCCGCTTTTTGAAAAATGATGTTCATAAATGTGTTCACTAGTACTTAAAAAAATAGGTTGACGTACTTTAGAAGCTTAACTGCCATTTCACTGAAAGCTTGTGATATGGTTGAAGGGAATTGTTTAACAGATGTAGTATTTTCCTAGGGCTTTGTAACAAAGTGCCACAGACAGGGTGGCTTACAAAACAGAAATTCATGATCTCATGGTCTAGAAGCCAGGTGCTTGGGGTGAAGTTCCTTCTGATTCTGTGTTGGTTCCCTCTGAGGCTGTGAGGGAGACCCTCGTTCTGTGCCTGGCTCCTGGTAGGTTGCTGCCAGTCTTGGCCATCTTGAGCCTTGCTAATGCACCACCCTGATCTCTGCCTTCATCTTCACATGGTGTTCTCCTGTGCATTCTGGTCACTTAGGGGTCTACCCTACCCCAGTATGATGATGTTTTAATGAATTACTTCTACGATGATCCTATTTCCCAGTAGGATAGCATTTTGAAGTACTGGGGGTGAGGAATTCAACAGACCTATTTTGTGGGGGGACTCAACTCAACCCACGCTGACTGAGTAGTTTTATTTCAGTCGGTCACGTGGACTGAGCCAGCGACTGAGACACTCCAGGTGGGATGTAGGCACTGTAGCAGAGCGGGAAAAAAGATTTGGTAGCAGACAGACCAGGGTTTAACTCATGTTTCCACTCCCTATGAACTGAATGTCTGATTTTACTCATTTATAATTGGATAATAATTCTTCCTTTAAAGGAGTCCTGTGAGGCCTTCAGTAAATCTTAGCGTCTCTTTCTCCTCTTTGCTGCAGCCCAGACACAATTACTATCAATAAGTGTGGACAGTCTGCCCCTGGGTGGCAAGAATCCTGAGTGAAGAAAGATCAAGAAATACGAAAAATGTTCAGCTTAAAATCTTCTTTCTGTTCTTTAGGCCCATTAAACTCAGATGTGATTTTGGCTTAAAGGAAACTTGGACCAATTTCAAAGACCACCTAACAGAAGCCATCAAATAAATTGAGATCTCTAGAATAAATGCTGGGACACGGTCTGAAATGTGTCATCAGTCCTCAACGTGGGGTCTTTTGCCTTCTGTCTGTAAGATGACAGAGGCTTCATTTTCACAGTCTTTTAAGCACAGCATGCCTAACTAAATTAATATTCACTTAAACAATGTAAAGGCGGAGTATTAACTAAATAAACTAATTAATTAATCAGTGCATTCCAGTCACAGATAACAGAATATCACTTTGCTTCCCAGTGTTCATAAAAATCCCAGGTGAAAGAAATTATATTCAGCCAGAATTGTGCAAATTGTTATATTAATAATATATTTATGATAATGTATATATGTTAATATTTTCTCAAGGATTTGTATATATTTACTTGTAATGGAAATTAATTAATAACGCACACCCTGGAGAGCAGCAAGTGGTGGTTCAAGTAGTTGGTTCTCTGCCACTCACATGGGAGACCAGATAGAGTTCCTGGCTCCTGACTTTGGACCAGCCTAGCCTTGACTGCTTCAGGAATTTGGGGAATGAACTAATTGGTGGGAGATCTCTGCCTGACTATATCTGTCTCTCTTCCATTCAACAATAACTGATGATAGATCACTGTAAAAATTAAGAATGAGATTCTGAGGCGAGGGAGGGTTGGATTGTGGACAGGAGGGAGGGAAAACCCCACTTTGTCCCTAAATATGTATATATGAAATATATGAAGCTTGTATAACTTACATTTTATTTTATTTTATTTTTTTATTTTTTTATTTTTTTGACAGGCAGAGTGGACAGTGAGAGAGAGAGACAGAGAGAAAGGTCTTCCTTTTGCCGTTGGTTCACCCTCCAATGGCCGCCGTGGCCGGCGCGCTGCAGCCGGAGCACCGCGCTGATCCAATGGCAGGAGCCAGGTGCTTCTCCTGGTCTCCCATGGGGTGCAGGGTCCAAGCACTTGGGCCACCCTCCACTGCACTCCCTGGCCACAGCAGAGAGCTGGCCTGGAAGAGGGGCAACCAGAACAGAATCCGGTGCCCTGACCGGGACTAGAACCCGGTGTGCAGGCGCCGCAAGGCGGAGGATTAGCCTAGTGAGCCACGGTGCTGGCCTAACTTACATGTTAAAAGAAGACAAAAAAGAAATCATTTTCATAATGGGAAAAATAGAAGTGACATAACAAAAACCAGGAAACACAAAAATATTTATTTGAGAGGGGAGGAGGGAGGGAGAAGAGGGGGAGGGAGAGGAAGAGGGAGACGGAGGAGAAACCAAGCTCCCCTCTGCTGGTTTACCATTCAAATGCCTGTAATAGCTGGGTCAGGTCCAGAGCCTGGAGCAGGGGACACAGTCCAGGACTCCCATGAGGGTGTCAGAAACCCAACTGCTTGAGTCATCACTGCTAGCTCCCAGAGTCTGCGTTGATGGGAACCTGGAGACAGGAACCAGAACGGAGAATTAAACCCACACATTCTGGTGTGTAATGCAAGCATTTTAACCAATGGGCTAAATGCCTGCTCTGATATAATGAGTAAATTTTATTGATTAATAATTTTCCAACCTGACCCTAGCTTAACCTAAGTTGATTTAGGTATGTGGACTACAATTATTCATCACCTTAACAAGTATGTTTTATTGAATTAGATTTTATCATTGTGACTTCATCTTTCACTGGAAATAATGAATGTGTGGTGTATCTGAAGATTGCCATTATACAATTATACTTTAGAAATTTGTCTGAGAGCCAAATATTAGAGGAAAGCCAGAAACTAGCATATTCTTCCATTAAACACAATGAACATAGTATAACTGATATTATTTTCTATTTTTCTTTGAAACTCAGAACCAAATATGTAGCCATCTATAGGAGTAATAGGAGTTCTTGTAACCAAAACATCTTAGGAAATATGTTTCCAACTCTTCACATTATAATTTTAATTCATAATTTAATCTCAATAGATTTCTTTTGTATTTTTTAATTTGTTATACAATTTTCATATATTTCTTTTTCTAAATAAGATTTATTTGAAAGACAGAGTTACAGAGGGAGGCAGAGACAGAGAGAGAGGTCGTCCATCTGCTGATTCACTCCCCAGAAGGCTGCAACAGCTGGAGCTGCGCAGATCCAAAGCAAGGAGCCAGGAGACTCTTCTGGGTCTCCCACGTGCGTGCAGGGGCCCAAGGTCTTGGGCCATCTTCTACTGCTTTCCCAAGCCATAGCAGAGAGCTGGATTGGAAGTAGAGTAGCCGGGTCTCGAACCGGCGCCCACATGGGATGCCAGCACCCCAGGCCAGGGCTTTAACCCATTGCACCATAGCGCCAGCCCCTCATATATTTCTTATATACAGGTGTAGGAACAAAGTGGGGCTTCCCACCACTTTCCAACCCTTCCTCCCCTCTCTTTTGGATTCCCATTCTTAGTTTTTGTGATGATCTGTTACCAGTTTACTTAGTGATCTTATAGTTAGCCCCACTTTAAGTAGAGGAGTTCTGCTAAGAGTATGAAGAGAAAACAAAACAAAACAAAACA